ACACTTCTCTCTCTCAACTCTCATGCATCCATCTCATTCCATGCCAAACCCCATATATGTATATATAGTCGTAACTTCTTTTTTCTCTCTCTCTCTCTCTATCTATATATATAATTGAAGTTATTAATAATCATACATCAACATATATCAACCACGCATGCATCATATATATTTTACTATGCCTTTTCAGTTTCACTCTCCCTTCCCTCCTAGCTACTAGCTTAGCATGGAAGAGACATCACTACTGCTCCCTCCGTAGACAGTAGACTCTAAGACTAGTGTCTAAACCCTAAACCGTGTCTGACGCGTCATGAATGGCCAATTCATAGCACACTTGATCCATAGATCTGTGTGTAATTAAACAGTGGAACTTTAAGCTAGGCCAGGCATTCCTGAGTTGATGATCAAAAGTTCAAAACCAAACGTACGTGAGGCGCGGCTAACGAGTGGATGTGTGAAACTCAACTCCCGCAACCCGCATCCATCATGTATAACTTTGAGTTTGAGTTGACACACGACGTAGGCTTCTGTTTGGGTTGTAATTTTGATGACCATCCCATCCGGCATTCCGGCTTTGTTTTATGAACGGATCGATGAGCCTTATCCCTTATGTACAACGTTGATCATCATATCGTTCAAATGCATGTACACTGTGAATATTATTGAAGAGAAATTTAACACCACTTTTTCATTTGGTATATATTAATCCATTCATTATTTGTATATATCCATCCCTCCTACAAAAAAAACAAATTAGTTCAACCGTGTTCTAGATCATTTTACCCGCAAAAAAAAAAAAAATCACTCAATGATATGTAATTAAATTAATACGTGGAGGCCAGGGTCCTTTGGGAGGGCCGAAGGTTTGTTGAACTCCTCTCACTTGGCTGAACGACGACAACAACATCAAATTTGGATTTTCTGAATTTTTTACCAAACGATGCTTATATGCTGTCTGCATGGGAAAGCCTTTCCAAAGGGATCGAGGCTTGGGGACACCAAACGATGCTTATATATATATAAAGAAATGCAATTGATCTACTTCCTAGAATTCTTTTTTATCTAAATCATTTATAATTAATTAAAATGATTTATGATCTTAATCCTCCTAAATAGAATTACCTATTCATGGCTGAGTTCGGATTCAACTTTTGCCAAATTTTGAATAGGTCAACTCCTAAAGGCCCATTAATTGATTAAAGCCCTGTTTGATTTCACTTTTATTAAATACTATTTAAAATAAGTGTTGGGATCACACATTAAGTGTAAAATAAGTATTTATTTCTATTTGATAAAAAAGTAAGGAAAATGTGCTTATTGAAAAAACAACTTGAGAGTGGCTTTTTTAAGCACTTCTTAAAAATATGCATGTTTGAAACTTTTGGGACAGTTCAGTGCCTAGTTAATTTTTTAAATCCATGAGATACCCCCCATGTGTTAGAAAAACCCTCTTCTTCCTCATTCGAACAGACCGCGGTGGCACCTCTACTGGGAGTGACCGGCAACCACTGAACAATCTAAAAATTCATCGATGATCAGGTCAATTTTACTTTTGGAACCATTTTTTTCATGCTTTTATGAATTTTTTTTTTTGAGGCATTTAATGCTCAAAACCCTTTTGGCATTGTTGTTTACCAAATTTGGTTTTTTGGGCACACCAGTCTCGTTGTATAATCGCTGGCAACATCAGGTTGTGTTAATTAGTTTTGCGTTATTATTATTTTTTGTGCAATATTTTTCTCAAAACTGGTTTTTTCGATTGTCAAAGATAAAAACGATAATGTTGTGTTAACTAGTTTGGTTGTGTTAAATATTATTGTAGTTTGTGTTTTTATTCCAATTTATGAATAATTGGTGATTGTTCTTTGGTGATGTTTTTCCAAATTTATTTTTTTCCTTAATCCGAATGTTGATTGTTTTTTTTTTATTAATACAATTTTTTGTGATACTATTTTTTTAATTTTTATTGCACATTCTTCACATGGCACTCAATGTGTAGGCCCACATGGATTCCCATGTGTTATAGTGTGGTGATGTGACAAACTTCCTTCAAATGTATAATATAATATTGAAAATCATTGTTTATATGTGTGGGTAAAATAAGGGCTAAAATTGTTGTTTATGCTAAAATAAGCACTTGTGGGGAAAGTAGCTCATCAAACATCCCCACCCCAATCAGTGATTTTACAAATGGGTCACCAAACACCATTAAGTGGTTGTTAAAATAAGCATTTGTGCATATCAAACCACTTAATAACCAAACATAGTCTAAGTGGCTTTACTCTAGTCTTGACTCTTGACATCAGATCTGCATTGATCCAAGCTGATTAGATCATGAATAGCATATTTGATATGCTTGCCACGAGTTGACCCCACATCCCTCTACCCACAGGACATTACAGCTGTGCATTATGAATATCTCCCTTGTTATTCATGCGAAGATGTTCCCAATAAACAGTGGTGGTATTCTGTGAGTAGAGATGTGGGAATAATTTGTAGACAATAGATCTAGAGTGACTTAAATGGCCATCCAAACCATAGAAGCAAATGGTCTTGCAGCTCTTGCTCTTGCAATCATTGTTGAAAGCATATTAGAAATTATCTATTACTCAAACATGTTTTTAGAAATAAGGAAAAAAAAAGCTCTTTGTGTAACTAATGAATGTATAATTACAATATTGTCCACTCTGTTTATATGGATAGATGATTAGGAGTTCATTTAATCACACGATCGTTCTAGTAATATATGATAATTTTCTAAGAATATCTAAACTAGTAAACAGGTGTTCTAAGATTAATATAATATTTACTTATTTAAACAATGCATCCAATCAATTCAAAAATCTAGTCCATTAAAGTTGTCTCTTAGGCCCCGTTTGTTTTTTGATAAATTTTTTACCCAAATAAGTGTATTTATCCATGTTCTTTTATTTTTCAAGTAAATGATATAGTGATCGTTTTAGCCATAAAAATCTATTATTAGAAGGGAAAATTTTGTCCCACCCAAATGTTGTCAACTTTTCCCCTAGGTGGGAACCCACTTGGGAGGAGATAGTGATACCTAGGGAAAATAAATTTTCCATAGACCCTACATAAATTTGAAAAAAAGAATATAAGTATCTTGATTAATGATAACTAAAATCCTATTGACCAACTTTCTCCTTTCTCAAAATTTAAAAAACAAACAGACCCTTAAAAGCAATGAATTAATATAAACCATTCAAATGATGTTCTAAAATTAATTAATCCCAAAGGCCAATCATGATAGCTGAAATGACTGAACCGAATGGCATAATATTGCTTTATATTTTCATTGAATAAATTTATCAAGAATACTGTTAACTCCTTAAAGCTGAAAAGTTGGGTTTGTAATTATATTCCAAAAAAAATATTATTTTGTTCTAAAAAATTGTTACTTGTTAAAAAATAGTATATATACAGTTTTTTATAGTCATACTTGGTGAAAGAGTTAACAGTGGAGGTTTAAGATAAATATTTATACCTCCCCTCTGATTTAAGTTCTAAAAATCTTCATTTCTTTGTTTTCCCACTTCTCGACTCCGGGACTCCCCATTTCATATGCAAAAAGGAGGAGGAATCCTCCAATGCACCGATACCTGGTTTTATATGCAAAGCGGCAATGAAAAAGGTAAAATTGGTTTGTTTATTTATTTATTTTTAAATTAACCTATAAATGATGTTAGAAGATAGGATTAACGGAGGACAATAGTTATTCAGTAAGTAGGTTGTCGAACCAATAATAATGCTCCACACCAGTCATAAAATACTTATAATTAATTAACCTTTTCAGGCTCCATGTATTTTATTATTGGTGTGAGATATTATCATTGATTTCAAGGTTTTTAAAATCAGATCGGACAAGAAACCATTCTAGGTCCAGTTCCCAGGTCAAATGGTCCAACCATCCAGTCTGAATGGACAGTCCACTCTAACAAAATAAAAATAAAAAATAAAAAAATAGAAAAAACTGTTATTTGAGTCAATAATTCGACCACCTAAGTCAGTAATTCACTGACCAAATCAACAGTTTTAGACCAAAAAGCAGTTCTAAGGTAAAATGGACCAGTTCCCAGTTTTTCCAATCGAATTTTGAAAACACTGATTGATTCCACAACCCATTAGCTAAAGCTTTAGCTAATAGGATAAAAGGCAATAAATACTAATTCTCCTATCACATGCAAACATATTTGGATGGATTAATCATGTCATGGTTTTAAAAACCAATTTAGATGGAATCACTTTGACCATCGATTCTTGGGTCAAATGGTTCGACTGTCCAGTTAAAATCCTGATCAAACGATTTGGGGTCCAAAATCAAATCCTGAGCCATAACTGGTTCTTAAGGTCGAACTGTCCAACTGTTCAGTTCGGTTCGATTTCAAAAACCATAGTTTTAATGTATTTAAACTTTAAAGTGATAAGCCTGAAGCCCGGCCCATGACAACCGTAGAGTTAGCGCTTCCTGTGGTAGAGGATTAATTAAAGCCCAAAATCACATATCTGAATTCTCTATACTGTGTTACTGTCTTACTGAGATGTTAGCCACGTAAGCGTAACTGGTAAAGATAGTGGTTAGAGAGAGAAAGAGAAGCCAAACGATTCGACATTTGAATGTCGTATCGGCAAAATATCGGAATTCTATAGTTCGTTTCGGGCGATGGACTCCTGAGAACGAGGAGCTTCCTTGGTTGAGAGGGGTTTAATGATTCTCCAAGGAGGTTGAACTTTGAAGGGTACGAACTCACCGTCCGTTTGAATTTCGTGGTTCTCGAAATAAATTTATAGTTTTTCTGTTCTTTCTTGTTCCCGCTTTTTTCTTTCTTCCAATTAGTTGGTCGGTTTTGAAAATTCGGGTGCCTCCCGATTCTCCCGCGCGTTTTAACGACCGATTTTTCAGCTTGGCCGGTCATGAAATGTGAGCTATACATCTCTCTCTGCATCTCTTTTATTTCTTTTTTTTTCATTTTTCTTTCGTTACCTGCAATAATTCTTTTTTTTTTCCTTTAATGATTTTATCCATGTTGTTCTTTTTTTTTTGAAAAAAAATATAATTTTTTTATTTCTTCATCTGGGTATTTGTTCGTTTGGTGTTCTTTATCTGTTACATACGATTTCATGCTTTTTTATTACACGGATTAGGTTTTTCAGAAGGTTAGGAATCTGCAACTGGGGATTATTTGAATTTTATTTGGGTATTATCTCCTCTATTTCTAATTCCATATGGGTTTTGTAATTTGAATTTTAGTTTTATATGGGTTTTCACCTATTTTAATCAGCTTTGGTAAACTTGATATGGCTTTTGATTAGTTGTTCGTTTCTGTTTTTAGCAGTAGAGTGCTGTCAACAGTTCCTGGTATTTTTTTTTTCCGAGTTTCGATGTCTCAAACGTAAATTGCTGCTGTGTTGCCTTTCCGCTTCAATTGTTTTGTCGCTTTGTAATTCGGTTTGAATGTGGATGTTACTAAATTATTTGATTTATTTCCATCGGAGTTCAAGGTGTTGGCAATGGATGCTTCGATTGTATTTCCGCATAGAATTTTGTTGATGCAAATTCAAAATGGACTTATGGGTGAAACTTGACGAAAGGGATATTGCTTTGCTAGGATTTCAAACCTTTTTTCAGGGGATCAGAAGCTCTAGAGATAGGAAAGAGATAAAGGGCTTTACTTGAAAACCTGTAGGATGGGGAGGGTTAAGCTCAAGATAAAGAGATTGGAGAATACAAGCAGTAGACAAGTAACCTATTCAAAAAGGAAGAATGGAATCTTGAAGAAAGCTAGGGAATTATCCATATTATGTGACATAGACATTGCCCTTATCATGTTTTCACCAACTGGCAAGCCTACATTGTGCCTAGGAGAGCACAGGTACTTTGTTTTTCCTTTTAGCTATACCTTCTGTTATCTGCTCATCAATAACCTTGGCTCTTATGTGATTTTACAAGCCAAAGTCTCAAAAATGGTTTAAACAGTGCATAAAGTTGATTACTAGTGAGATAGAGAAAAGCAGATCATTTCAGTGAAGTTGTACCTTTATCAAAACTGAAAAAGTTTCTTGTCTGCTCTCTACTTACATGCATCCTTGATAATAGTAAATGATCAAAGGTTTCTAATTGTATCCAAAGACATGGTATGAAGTGAACCTATATAGCAAGAAAAATACTGGCCTCTCCTTGGAGTAAAAAATGAAGAACATTTGCGCTAGGTCCTAATGACTTGAAAAAAAGGGAAGGACAAACGGGGTTATTCATGTACAGCTTTCAAAACTAAGAAGAAAACATTATGTACACTGCAACGACTTCGGTTATAGAAAAAAACCATCGGTGACATCCTTTCATCCGTATTCTTGTATTTCTTTTTGGGGTTTCAAATAGGCTTGTTCTGAGTTGAATTTAAATGCATCCTCCAATAAAAGATCCATAAAAGTGACATAAGGAAAATTTAGTTTATGCTGAGATTGTTGCAATTAGGCTAGCATAGAATAACTTTGCAGTAGAAGGTTTCATATGTCTCTGTCTTTTGCTTCAGTCCCTATCATGTAGACGACTAGACGAGTCTTTCTTATGCCATGCATCATAGATTATTATCAATGCATAAAGACAAGTTCTTTCTATGCAGAACATTCAAATTTAGATTGTTTAATCTTAGCATTTTGGACTCTAAGGATGCAGGATAGTATATCTTTCCATCTACTGTACATATTCGATCATGAAGACACTAGACAGAACATCTCATTTGAACTGTAAATATTCTCATTTAACCCTGAAAATCATCAAAACCTCTTTATGTTGTATATTACTAACTGGTTTTGTTTCTATGTTATAGAAAGTAACTTTATATTTTTCATCATTGATTTTTTTTGTGTCCTTTTCTGATGATTCTTTACTTCTCCATGATTCAGTAACTTTGAAGAGGTTATTGGAAAGTTTGCTCAATTAACTCCACAGGAAAGGGCAAAAAGGTTCTCTCAGCTCAATCTTGAGCTTATCTACTTATTTATTGGGTTTGGGTTAGATATGAATGGTATTTGGTGTTTAATAATTTTTCACTGGATTGGAACAGGAAATTGGAGAGCCTCGAAGTAAGCCAATTCTTCATGATCTATTCTTCTATTGCAGACTTCATTCTCTTGGCTTTTTATATATGTTTGGATTTGAACCATCTTTAATGTATGTTCACACAACATTCTGGTGCTTTCTTTGAGACTATAGGCACTAAAGAAAACATTTAAGAAGTTGGATCATGATGTAAACATACAAGACTTTTTGGGTGCAAGGTTTGTGCTAATATTGGTGAAATTGGTACTTTATTATTTCAATAAAACTTCTTGTCTTCTGCATTGCATTCGTAGTTAAAAGAAACTGATACTTCCCTTCTCTTTCGGTTGCAGTACTCAAACAGTTGAGGTATTTATCATAAACCAGTAATTATTGATGCCTTTCTTGATCTTTCAGTTTCTAATTTGTCATTCATGTCAATGACATCTTATATTTTATCTTTCTTTTTCTGCAGGAATTGACCAACCATTCAAGGCTATTGCAAACTCAACTTTCAGAAACGCACAAGAGATTGAGGTGCATCTTTGAAACAGTATTTATTTTATTTTGCTCCCTCTGAGATGTTATAGATTTATATTGGTTGGAAGTTTGAAATATATTGGGCTGTACTTCATTTTTCTAATCATTTTTATTTGGTAAGCTCATTCCATTGATATGCCTCCAAACTGTTATTGCATTTTTAAGTAGAAAGCTTCTTTTGTTGTAGCATATAGATGAATTACAAACTCCAAGAAAAAGCCAGCGACTTATTCAAGAGTAAGGTATAGTGGTATACAATGCTGACTATCTTATAAATGACTGAGAGTCTGAGATGTTTTGTTCACATTCTTTCGAAAGTTGAAACAACATGTTTTGAACTTGTTCTACCATAATATTCAGTCCAGTTGATTGGAGATTACTAAGTTTTTTAACAATCCAAATACAACTCAATTCACCCTTAGTCCCAACTATTCAAGGTTGGTTATCAACTTTAGATTCATTACTGGTGCTTGCTTTTTTTTTTTCATCCGTAATTACCATATGTCTGGACATGTATGAGGGTCATTGGTGGTCCTTTCTTAATACTGGAAGCCATAGTCTACATTGGAGCAAAGCAAGTTCCTTTTTCTTTGAATTTTTTTAAAATGGAAATAAAAGTTACAAAACAGTTGTTAATTTCATTTACAGAACAGTTATGAAAGATCATAAAAGGCTAATATATTAGAAAATTATCTATAGTAATATTAAAGGTGGAAATTCAAGTAGACTTATTAAGTGCCACACATTTATTGGAACAATTTCAAGAAAGAACCATTAAAATCTGCACTTAAAGAATGGTAGCAAAACTGTCTCTTGCTAGAGCTCTCCAGCTTATGATCCATTTTCTTACATTTAATGTTGTATGTCTATCATTATCTTTGATGAAATTCTACCTATACCTTCCCCTCTCCTTTTCATGCAAAGTTCTTGTACTGAATTTTAGTTTTACCTGCAGTAAAAGTTATGTTTGAATGTGAAGATGATCATAACAAGTCTAATTTTTCTTTTAGAATGTTAATGAACCAAGGATGATATTCTACCAAAAAAAAGAAAGAACCAAGGATGATGTGGATAAAACTCACCCAGTTCAGTTGGCATAAGTTATCTTCTATGGAGTGAGCTGGGCTCTATAGCTGCTGCATCTTAATATTGTTTACTGAAAGTATTTTCTAATTTATCACCATGTTTCATACATCTAATCATTTTTTTTTTCTGAAGCTTTCACTTTCCATTCCTTTCTAAATAAGAGAGGCTTGATTTGTCTTTAAAATGCCTTTTCTTCTGTGCTATCCTATATATATATATATAAGCTAGCATAAAACATGCTCGATTCATCACTGTGATATGATAATACTGCATACCATTTTGTTTTCTTCAGCTATTGGACTCATCCAGATAAAATCAACAATATAGAACATCTGAGGGCAATGGAAGACTCTCTTAAGGAATCACTTAACCAAATAAGAGCTCATAAGGTATGGTTTTTGTTGTGTAATATAGGCCTCTCTTGGTAAAGATCTGCTTTTATGTTTTATTTCTGTACCCTAATGTAATTATTTTATCTAATCTAACAACACCATCTGGAAGGTGGGAACTATGTTTAGTTTATTAGAAATTCAAGATCATTTAGAATATTTAGTCTTTGCTTCAGAATGTCTCCTTATATGTTGTATTTGTAATTTATTAGTAATGTTTCAGCATAATGGTACTCTATTGAAGCTAGTTAGGGTCTGTTTGGTTCGTGGGAATAGGGGTCTGGAATCAGAACCAGAATGGTTCCAGCCATTTGGTTGGGTGGAATGGGGTTCTGATTCCCATTCCTGGTGGAATGGCGGTCCCCCATTTGAGGGAATGGCCATTCTGGCCTCCCCCCTTGGGAATGAGAATCTCCACTCTCCAGCCAGCCAAAAAAAAGGCAAGTGACTTAAAAACCCCCCAAACCCTATTTCTCTTTACCTGACACCAACTCTTCTTGGGAGTTGTGCATATCATATGGAATCTGATCCTAATTCCTGTCTGAATCAAACAGGTGGGGGGAATAAGCAATTCTGATTCCAGTTCCAGGAGATTTTGATTCTGATTCCCACCGCAAACCAATGTTGGACATTTACATGTCTGTTATCTATGCTGATGGACACCCCTGCCACACATGTGGCCTGGAGTTTTGAAATATTTGATTAGCTTGCCCAGTAACATATAGATCAATAATTTATCCCCTAGATAATTGCAGATAAAAGCAGCTTTTCTCATTGAAATGCAGTAGCCAAATGGATTATTCTGCCCATGTAGAGATCTTGTAATTTTTTTATTGTTGCATAAATTGGAAGTCTTACACAAGTTCCTTTGATATATAGTTCCAGAATGGGATGCATCTACCCTTGGGAATGAGTGTTGAGCAGCCACAAGCACAACCCATTTCATGGCTGCCTGGTAATGACAGTCAACATATGATGTTAGCAGAGGATCCAAACTTGTTACCTCACAGGTGAGTGGTTTTCCTATATCAAGAATTTTCTGATTGTCTTGGAAGTTTAACTTTTCGGTCAACCCAGTTGGGATCAATATTGCATTCATGATCCAGTTTCACAGGAAATCACATGGGCCAAACTTATCTTCTTAAATTGCATGCATAAGGCATAAGCAATAACTGTGCTTTCAGACCTAGTTGGAGCATCATCTCTTACCAAAGTTGATTTTCACACTCTCCATTACCCTGTGATTGGATTCAAGATAGTCTGTGAATGTAACTGGTTGACTCTCAACACTTGTAAAAGGGGTGATCCATATGGTTTCTCTGAACTGGTTCATGCATCTTACTTGTAGAAGTGAAGAATTCTGATGCAATGTTTGTTGGGCAATTTAATTCACATTGAAGAGCAGTCCCTAGTTGCTAGTTATAAATCTACATATCTATGTATTGAATTCATTTTATTTCTTTTATTTAAATTTCTAGAGGATAAATTCCAGACCTGTTCATGGGCCGAGTAGCCCAACGGGCTAGCCCGGCCTGGCTCGTTCTATATCAGGCTTGGACAAATCTTTAAGCCCATGGGCTTGAGCTCGAAACACCAGGCCTGACTGTTTTCAGGCCAGACCCGGGCTTTCCCAAATAAGCCTGGCCAATAATATTAAATATAATATATAAATATATAATATATATTATTATTAGCAATAAAAGTATTATATAATATTCTTATATTATTAATATATATTCTATATAATTAATATATTATAAAATTTCTGTTCAGATCGAGCTTTGGATTTATAGTTGGGCCAGGCTCGGGCTCAGGCCTGGTCATATTTTGTTTATAAAGAGTCAAAGCCCAGCCTGGCCCATGAACAGGTAATGTACCAACTAGACTGGATTTTCTTTAATGCCATAAAAAAACTACACTAACATCAAGTTTGCAACCATTCTAATTTCTGTGGATAAGTGTAGCTGTTCTAAACGAATTTGTACCTAAAAAAGGTGCTAGTTCCAATATCGTCATATGGACAATTAAAGTTGGGTGTCATACACATGGACACAAACACCTATATGAGGAGTCTTTTCTCTCTATCAAATCTATAATATGTGACTAAAAAGACATGAATCTTAAACAAAAGGGAAAATTACTTAAACCTCTCATGGCTTATCTGAGAATTACTTAAACTTCCCCTGTGTTTTGACCTTTGCAGAAACCTCCTTTCACCTTTTAAATAAATATGCAAACACACTCCTGTTAAAGGCCTTGTAACTGAGATGTTGAAATTATGACCATGCCCTTATTACCATTAAGACAGAAGATTACACATTTCAAAATGCCACTTCATCCCTGTTACAACTATGCCCTTATTAAATGTATGCAAATCAAGGTGACCATTGACCATGCTGAGTTCAGTAATGATGGGGTATTTAAATTGCAATTGGGATAATGAATGAAGGGGTGTGCTTGCCTATCAAGAGGTACTTTAATATATAGTTTTCATGGGTAAATCTGGGATTTTAAAAAGATTAAAGCATTATGTCAGCATTTTCCATCAGAAAATTTAAGGCTATGTTTGGTTTAAAGGAAAAGGTAAGGAAAGGAAGGGAAAGACATCAAAACCTATACAAGATTTGTAAAGGTTTCCTTATCTTTCCTTACCTTTCCCTACTTTTTCCTTCAAACCGAGCATAGCCTAAAAGAATGGGTGTGTTTGCATATTTATTTGAAAGGTGAAGGGAGGTTTTTTTGCAAGACTCAAAAATATAGGGGACTTAAGTAATTTTCCCTAAACAAAATTTGTGTTTGAATTCGGAATTTGTTGTACTTGATAACTTGGTATAATCATGTATGACTTATTTAGGTTGTGTTTGGTACCATTGCCACTTCTACTTGCAACTTTTTTAGTTGGTCAGTACATATTTTATGAGAACATATTGTTTTCTACCACAATTGCCTTGAGTTATCAATACAACATTTGGTACTATTGTGTTTGGTACGATTGCTTTGAGCTATCAAATTTGGTATTTCTACTATAAATGGCAACAGCCAGTCCAATGCCTATATTTTTTTTTTTAGTGGAAGTGGTTATTTGATGTGATGTGACAAGACAACTTCTCAAAAATTTGTATTGACCAACCTAAAATGTTGCAAGTAGAAGTGGCAATGGTACCAAACACAACCTTAGTTATTTAGTGTCTCTGCCCTATATATATATATATTTGTTTTTATCAATTAGTGCCCATCTATAGATGAGATTTTCTGCTATCTACTTGATAACTCAATGCGTCCTTTTCTAGTACTTCAGTTTGATAATTCATAACAAGGGAGAGATTGGGGAAGATGTCACCCATAAAATTTGAGCAGGATGGGCAAAATGGAGAGGTAACATATGTGATAGGAGAATTTCACTTAGATTAAAAGGAAAATTCTATAAAATAGTTATAAGGCTAGCTATGCTGTATGGAGCCGAGTGTTAGGCAGTCAAGAAACATGTCCAAAAAATGATTGTGGAAAAAATGCATATGCTGATATTTATCATGAGTGGAAAAACTAGAAAGGATAGATTCAGAAATGAAGTCATTTGAAGGAACTTAGAAGTAGATCCAATAGGTATTAAATGGGAGAAAGTAGACTAAGATGGTTTGGTCACATTCATAGAAGACCATCAACAGCACCCATTAGAAGAAGTGATCTGTTGCAAATTGAAGGGTTTAAAGGGCTAGGGGTAGACCAAAACGGACATGGGTAGAAATAGTAAGAAATGACTTAAAGCGCTAATAATTTAACAATGGATATGGAAATAAATGGAATGGTGAAACAAGATTCATGTAGCCAACCCCATATGGTTAGGATAAGGCTTGAATGATGATGATTTTCTGCCATTTGCTTTATTTACTTTTCTTGTCTATTCAGTACTTTTTTGCTGAACCATTGTTTGCTGAGCTTGCTAACTAGATATTTGTTCATAATTCATTGAACCAATTTTCTATGTTTACCTAGAGATCTGGAGTGCTCCACAGATGCTTCCATTCCAAGCTATTCTGGTTTCTTTAGTGCGTGCAAAACAGAAGTTGATAGTTCGGGTCAAGAAAGTAATGCCCTGAATGAATTAAGCAGAAATGCATGCTTGAGGCTACAATTGGGTGGGCAATATCCATATCCATCATATGGATTCAATTTGCTGGATGAAAAGAAATTGAAGACTGAAACAAAGATGAGTTTACATGAAAACCCTGTGGATTTTCAAGTTAATAGTGGCTTTGAACCAACTAGACCTGGGTATGACACAAGCCATCAGAGTTGGGCATCTACATCTGGACCTTGTGCCATTGCTGTGTTTGATCAGCAATCATACCCTCAAGTAAGTGTTCCTGCAATAAATTCTGGCTTACCTGAATTTCACAATATTAATTTCCATGGTTACAAACACAGCAGAGCAGTGAATTGATCTGGTATAATAACTGGTAAAATGCCACAAGGATGGACAGGATCTCAATGTGGTAGAAGGACAATCCTAATATTATAAATATGTAGTATCATATTTCTTTGAACTGTTATATCTTCACTCTTCTCCATTCAAATGATAAGTTGGAGATATAACAATCTGAAGAAATTTTGGTTTGAAGAGAAGGCTGGCCCTAACTTCTTGAGTGTGTTAGCCTTTCATTAATGTTTGAACTATAATGCAAGGTGCCAACCAGCTGGTTGGTAAGGTCTCCTGCTGGTCGTAGCAGAGACTTGGGATCGAATCCCACCTGCACTTGGGTTGGGGATGGGCTACCCCTCGTTGTGTAGCCCTTCAGAAGATATCAAAAAAATAAAAAAGTTTGAACCATGATATCTTACTTGGGAGGTGCTCTATTACCATCAATTTGATGGTTCTTTTTTTCTCGGACCATTGCCCAGGAAGACTGACCATCCAGATTGATGTACCAAGTCTAATTATGGGATCATCTGGTCCATCAGGATATTTTGGCATGGAAATTGACTATAATCTAGATTATCGTCTGATTTTATTTTGAATTCTTGCCCCAACTATTCCTCGATCTTCTGCTAGCTAGGGACTGCATCAATTTGAAGTTGTCTATTATTTCTTGCAGCAACCAAACTGAATTCACGAGTGATTTTATCATTATCATTCTTTGCTGGGTAGCCACATCAGCACAAGTCCTTTTGAATGTGAAATCAAGTTGATACGAATTAACAAAGTTCTGGATGCTGGGTTGGTATCTTTGACAATTATCAGAGGCAGCCCGCAAGAGACATGGTATGGTGCAACTGTTATATTATATTTGTACATGACTTGAACGTTTGGCCGCAAAGATTGGAAGGTTGCTGATTATTTTTTTTGGTAGCAGGAAGGTTGCTGATTCAGTCGTTTGAGCTACTGGATCTGCAATACCTAACCGTTTGTATAGTATAAACAATATATGGTAATAGGCTTTTTTATTACACTTTCCCCTTGACAGTGTTACTAATGACGGGGAGAATCTCCTTTATTCATTTCTCAGTAATCTAAGCTGTAAATTAAACTCTAGTAATACAAATTCAAGCTAACATCTTCATATTTTCTGGATGCTTTTTCTTTGGAAATGTTATTTTAGCAGTAAAAAAAAAGAATATAGGGAATTTCTTCTTTTCTCGTCTGTTTGCGAGGCCAATTTTGTGAGTAATGATAGAATAGAAGCAAAAGTAGATTGAATTAAAGCAATAATGTCTTCTTAACTCCCCTGTGCATTGAAAGTTTCATTTTTATATGTTAAAGCTTAATTCACTCAAATACCACCAACTCATGGTTACGGAACATGAAAATAGAATCAGTGTGTCCCGCTTAAATTAGCCCCGGAGGGTTTGGACAATTGTGTTGTGCCACGGATCAGAGAGATGTTGTAGGAGGTTGTCGAAGGGTCCTTTCCCGGTGACGTTGTGTTGGACAACAAACCCCAAGAATGCCAACATTGCTAATCTCCCTGCAAATGTATCACAAACAAAAATTAGCCTTATTTCTCATCCATAATTCAAAGCTCAACTTAACAATCAATCAACTTGCTGAACACTAGTGATGGTGGTTATGGTGATTCAGGTATTACCATTGGCGAGCTCCTTCTCTTTGGCCTCCAGAGTTGGGGCAAAATTCAGGGGATTAAAGATGCCGCCGGGGTATCCAACCTCATTGGGAGGCAAGCTGTAGTTCTTGAAGATGGGATCTTGGTTCACGCTTCCTGGGTTCTTTATGTCTTGCCACCTTCTGATCTCCACGTAATGGAACAAGATGAACTCAACCACGAAGAGGGTAGAAGACGACGCAAAATATTCAACTTTTCCGGCATCGTACCACGCTGGCACATTGATAATGCCGATCTTGGTGAGAATTTCGGGCAACAGCATCCCTGCGACACCCAACATGGCCCACCTCCCATTCTGAAGCTCCGCCTGGACGAACCATTTCAGGTTGTCGGGGTCCTCTGCAAGTCCCAAAGGATCGAATCCATTGTCGCCTGGGAGACTGTCATCAATGTCAAGTTGTTAGAACATATAGAAGATGCCGACGTCCATTGGCATTGCTTAACTCTCAAATAACAACAACAACAACAACAATCCAATCTATAAGGAAGCTTTAATGAAAGCATACTACACATATGACTGTAACAGACAAAATCTTGCAGAGAATACCTGCCATTGAGATATGAAGGCGAGGCCAAACCAGGCAACCACTCGCCCTTCTTGGCTTCGATTTTAAAGGAACTGGGGGACGAAGAAGTGGGCGTTTTGACGGAGATAACTTTGGTGAGCTTGCCGGAAGAGCCAGTGAGAAACCTCGATCTTGAGGTGCATGGCCGGAATACAGCAGAAGCCTGTGTGGTGACCATCGCCATCTAAATATTCCCGGTAAGACGTAAGACGTAAGAGGGGTGCAGTGGCCGCGGGGATTAGAGATTTAGAGTGCGTTTTGTGTATGGTATCCTTTTTTGAATTTCATTACTATGGTATTCTCGTGGTTCCGGTTCATGGCTTGAAGCTGACGGTTGGTTTGCCTGGTTTCGGAAATCTAATGATCAGGATCTCGTAAGGGGTTATACTGGCCAATCGGAGCATCCGATCCTTATCCTTACTTATTCTGATTCCGTATCCACAGCCACAAACCTATCTCTTCTTTGCTGTTTCCTGCTGTGTTGGTGCTGGTTAAAGCCTAGGGAAAAAAAAAGGAAAGAAAAAGAAAAAATCTTGTGGTTGTGGGTCCAAATCCAATGGATCTGCAAGATTCTTCCTCTGTGGAGAGAGACTCCGATTCTCCGAATCCAATTTCTGGAGAGGATCAGCTTCCGACGTGGAACCTGGACATCCAATCACCTACCTGAGAAGCGGTTGGCTGAGGGTTTTTTTTTTTTTTTGCATGGAAAAAGAAAGATAGATATACCAAGGATAAGCCTGTCGAGATCGTGAAAAAGAAAACAATCAATTCCCTCTTGGCATCTTCCTCTCAGCCTCAGGAGTCAGCGTCCTTGGGATGGGGCCCCCTTATCCTCAGTTTCCATCTGGACCATCCACCTAAGCAGTCAGACAATCTAAATATAGTGCGTGGGACAAATTTTGACCATCCACAAAAGCAATATTGACGAATTGGATTTGGATGGTCTATCGTGGTACTGGTACACCGGGTCCAAGACCATTAGCAATAATGTCAATATCCTAGTTTATTTTACGACAAAGATACCCTCTACCTTGCAGCAGAGATCTATCTCTTTCTTATATGCAATATCTTCAAATAGTATGTCTAACCTTGTCATTTCACACGTTTATTCTTAAACTACCAGTCTAAAAATTACCAGGTTTTAGTGGTGTTAAGCGGGTCTAATTCTTATTGGGTCAGGCTAAGGCCCGATAGCCTGATTAACAATAGGATTGGGTCAGTTGTTGTAGAAGTAGAGTTAGGTTGGCGTATTTCCTTAAGGGTAGGTCTACCTTGATTAGGCCCAGACATGACCACATCGTCTGTCTATTAATCATGTTGATTAACAAGAAAATCGTAGGAAAGCGATAAGCCCCACATTGTTTGCTGTGAGTACAGCCATGGGAATTATTAGCCATTTGAGTGGTAAGGTCTCAAGTTCAATTGGGGAGAACTTCTGACTTGTGAGAAGAAGTGACTTTTTGTAAGTTAAAAGGGAGTAAGAAATGATTTTTAAGGTCTCCTAATTTAACAGCGGACATAGCACTGAACAGAGAGGTATTACAAAATAGGGTTCAATTGGCTGACCGAACCCCATATGTTTGGGAAAAGTCTTATATGAAGTTGTTGTTGTTGATGATGAAGATGATGAACCCTTCCTTTCAGACCCACAAAATATCAAAGAAAGAAGAGCTTTTGTGCATTTAATTAGAAAATTATATACCTTTTTGAAGTTTCTAAATGGGGGGAATGCATAAAAGGAAACCCAGCAACCAAGAAAAAAAGCATAGTTCTGATATATCTTTTCTATGGGTCTCACCCTGTGTGGAGAAGAAATAATCATATGTTGAGAGAGAGAGAGAGAGAGAGTCACCAAATTATCTAAGCCAACACATCAAAACACCAACAGTTAAAAAGAAGATTACCTGATCCAGACACACAAGATAAGATTGAGCTGAACCATTAAACCTGACCTATTGACATGTTCGGGCTCGCTTCTATTAATGGATATTGGATTATTTATTCAATTAATATAATAAGCTCACCATGTCTAAAAAGCCAGGAGGGACAGAACCACTTAATGATTGGTCCTAACATACCCCATGCATAGGCTCAAAGAGTGAAAGAAGCAATTCAAGCCTAGACTAGTCTATACTGGGCTGGTCTGAAATTGTGTTAGTTCACTCTGGTCCATTTCAATAATGAAAACAACCCACTATGTTTTTATGTGAAATGTGGAGCTACATTTGCCCCTTTTTATGTGGACTCTGAATTATACGAATAGTGGCATCCTTCTAAGAGATTTTATTAGATATAAATCAACTTGATGGAAATGGAAGAATGCCCTGATCATTTACCCTTTTTTTTTTACTTGGAGGATAGATGGGGAGGACAGCCATAGCTTAAAAATCCACTCTAATTGACTAGTAGTTAATCTTAGGTTAAAAAGGAGACATTAAAGGAGGCCAACACCGACTGGCCTAGAATGGGTTTTGGCCTGTCCAACAGCCTTTTGAAAGTGAAAAAAAAAAAAGAAAAACTCTGGCTGGGCTTAGGCTCACAGCTCACTTTAGCCCAGACCAGCCTACAAATGTTCATCAGAAGTCAGAACCTATGTATACCTAAAGGTTTCCTAATTGAGTCGTTGAGTGGAGGGTAGCTCCTTATCTAAGGCTACTATCTATATTTCTGCCATGTGGCAAAGTCTTCCAGGCCAAAATTTGTTCCTCGACTAAGTGAGAGGAGCAGAATATAGGGAATCCTTTGACTTTATATAATAAAGATAATGTTAGAAACATCAAACATCCCTTGAGTACATACTACTAAAGGTGTCCACGGTTCGGTTAAACGAATTATGGACAATTTTTTTCAAATTGAATCGGTCTTATTGATTTTTTGGTTTCTTCAAATCGAAATTGAATCGGTACTACTGGTTAATTGATTCATTGGTCCGGTTCTTCGATTTTTCAGTTTTTTATATTCATAATATCTCTTATATAAATATATAAATATATATATATATATATATATTTATATATATATATAATATTATATTATATTATATTATATTATATTATATTATAAATAATAAATAATAAATGATATATAATATATTATAAATATTATAAAAATATATAATATATAAAAATATGTGACATATATTAAATATATATCAGTCGGTTCGGTTAACCGAAAACCGAACCGATCCTTCGATTTTTTAAAAATACCAACTGAGATTGATTCGTTAACCACATTTTCCGATTCAATTTTCTCGGTTCGATTCAGTTTTTCAGTTTTTTTGGTTTTTTATGAACATCCTTAATACATACTACATACACATTTATTAATGCCAGTAATAGTGTAGTAGTAAGCACTTTAAGCATGGTCTGGATGAAGCCCCTTAACTGAGAGCTACTTGATTGCTATCAACTCTGGTGAAATGTATTGTAATGTGGGTTTAAGCCTAGATCCAATGTGAGGCCCATCTTATTTATTGGATTGGGCCAGACTGAGCAGAGGACCGTCTTTGACAATCAATGTTTTTTGCAATAGGACAGTCTTTCTTTTCTTTTTTCTTTTTTTTTTTGAGTAAAACAGAAATCATTACTAAACCAGAAACAAACAAATAGGACAGTTAATAACTTATAGTTCTAGTTATAATGGTTTGAGAAGGGCACATGCTTGCTGCTGCTGCTTCTTCTTCTTCTAATAGGGATAAGGCATGAAATAACCACAAGATGAACCCACCATACCATTTTAAATCAGAAAAGAATTGGATTGTGAATTTGTGACGGTGTGTTTTCCTTATCCTATCTCTGTTTGCTTGTGCAATAGAGATAAAAATGTTGTTCTAGTCTGAAATATCTGAGCAATACTTCTCAGTTTTCACCCCTTTTACGTTTAAAGCATTCTTTTATTTGCCGTCTACATCAAAACAAATAAATTACAAGTTTGTTGCAAAAGGATGAAAATAATAACTCAAGTATTTTTATCTAAAAAAATAAATTCCATGTTCATTTTTTTCTGGAGAAACAAACCCAGGTGAGGTAGGTTAAAAGCCATCATGTAAGTATAAAAAAAAAAAAATGCATGTAAATGATGATATCATTCAAGCAATACCAACAGTCCAGAACCAAGTAAATGATGATATTACTCTAACTAAATTGTTCCCTATTAAAAAACAGCGAAACTGTATTTTCCAAAAAAAAACAAGAAAAAAAATGAGGTGTTTTAATTATTATTATAAAAAAATCTGTAATATCAGAAAGGCTTTGACCAATCAAATCTGCCCATAAATTCTGACTATGATAATGCCAGTTGATTGGTTATAAGTTTTTTCTCAATATCATAATCGAATCCTTATTATTATTAAGAAAATTTTGGCCGACAGCTTGGGTTGTCAACATAAGAACAGTAAATTGGCGCTGAAAGGAATTTTGATGTCCCTGATCAAAAAACACCGACCAAACCAAGCATTAAATGGAGGAGGTGATAAGGGGGACAGATTTTTTTTTAATATAAAAGATCTGCCAAGCTTTTCCGGAAGAGTCTCATTTAACTAGCACTTGACTGAACTGGATATTTCTGGTTTCTTTCCTACTGCTTGCTTCAATTTCAAGCCTTCAACAGCATCTGAATAACCAAACAAACGATGAAACTCACTCTCTCTCTATAACGTAAACATTAATTACCAAGGTACGAATCATTCAATACATGGATCCCACTGGCATACCAAACCTTATAAACTATACATTCTTTACAGAGCGAGCCTCTTGCAGCTCACCAGCTTCCACCAAAAATGTTCAACACTGTCCGACTTCTTTGACGAGTCCTCATTTAACAGCATGTGTGTCCAACGGAGATAAGATCGATCGTGTACTATCACCCTGAGTTCTCTCTTTCAAAAATAAATAACGTCTATGGTCCTCTACTCCTCTTAACAACTTGAAATGCTTTTACTTTTATTTGTATAATATTGGGTGATCAGGGTTGAAGATAATGTAAATGCTTTAAATATAAAAGAGTGGAAGACCTTCCATCAATGCTTTAAATGCTGGAACCACGATTACATCTCACCCAATTCAGTATGAAAGCAAAAAATAAGAAAATCAATGGAAGAATGCACTTAGATGTGGATTTGTCACAATTTGTCTATGGCAAGATATATAGGAAAAGTTATTCTTTGGGCCAATCTTTTAAACCACTCCTAAGTTTTAGGAAATTGACTTATCAACCCTTATTATTTAGAAATTGCCTTAAATTATCACTAAGTTTTTTCAACAATTAACAATTAACAAAAAGATGAAAAATACTATTTTACCCATTATTTTTTTCTAAATTTTCAATATAAAACATTTGAATAATATCTTGATGGTCTTGACTTGACAATAATACCTTGCTAGTCTTCCTCCTCATCGAAACTTTCATCATTGGCAAAGCTTTCCAATGGATAGAGATGCCCAACAAGTGAAAAGGAAGGATCATTTTCCACCCAAAAATTAGATTTTGAGGATTAGCTCTTACTCACTCCATTTCCATCTACTTCAATACCATAGGAAACAATGGGGAAATTCCTTTCTGTGTTCTTGAGCTTCAATTAAGTAAAGATTGAAAACTATGTTCTTGTCTGCAAGGTGGATGTTGAGTTTTGTTGTTTTTAAATTTAAAGAATAGTGGAGAAAAAAAATCAATCACATAAGGGTATATTGGGTTTTAAAAATATTTTGTATCACGTGGTGTTACATGTAAACAAATTGTGATGGAACACTAACGGTAGGACAGGATTTAGTCAATTGTTAGAAAACTTAGGCATCCTTTAAGGCAATTTCTAATGAATAAGGGCAAAATTAGTCAGTTTCCTAAAACTTAAGGGTACTTTAAGAGATTTACCCTTTGGTTTATCCCCATATTAATTATTGAGAGAGAGAGAGAGTTGAAGGTCTTATTTTCAGAATAGGAAAAATCTAGCCATATGTTTTTATCTCTTAAACTGTGTTTGGTTTGAAAGAAAAGGTAGGGAAAGGTAAAGAAACCTTTACAAACCTTGTATAGGTTTCCCTACCTTTTCCTTCAAACCAAACATAGCCTTAATGAAAACATGTTTCTTGATGAGGAAATAGTAGTAATTTCCCCTCATCTATTTGTACATTATTTAGTCCTCAAGCCATGTGGGTAGTAGACTCTAGAACAAGGATTAAAATATTTTTGTGTGGATACATCGATACAAAGGTTTTCTTTTTAATATTTAAAACATTAAAATATTGGGCGGGACTCTTTAATGCCTATAAAATTTTAAAAAATAAAAAGTTAAGAAAAAATAGGGGCAAGTGGATATTGGTGCATATTGATGTTTTAATCCTTGCTCTCTACACATTTTGCTTCTTAAAAGATTTTCTTGTGATCTTCCATGAATAACCTTTCCCTTATCTGAAGTTTCTGCCAAGTAAAAAATCCTAGCTTTCAAATGCCTTGTGGTGGTAGTGGCTTGTTGTTTGAGTTGGAGATGATATATGATCTACGATTCATAATTTCATATATTGATGGAAAGATTGAAGTACCTGCTTCAATACCCAGTGAGAAGGGAGTAGATTTTACTTCCAACAAGTTTATTCATGTATTGAGTGATCTCTACCCTTTACCAGATGAAGCTTCATGTTGATTACATCATCACTCAATATAACAAATGAAGGGTTATAGGTTTGTATGAAATAATTTTGGACATCTCCTTGCACAGATGATTTGATGGACTTCAAAATTCACCATATTCCTAACGAAGCAAATCCAGCTACTGATCTCCTTGCTAAGTGGGCTTACTAGTTACTATTATATCCCTTCATGATTTCAGGGATGGGATGGGCTCTTTTTATCGGAGATCCGCTTCAGTAAGTACAAGGCCCGTTTGCATTGGAAACATTTTCGTACTACTAATTTCATGGAGAGATATTCTCAATACAAGGTTATAACATATTAATGGGTGTTCGAAACGAGCTTTGCACTGATTTCAATGGAAATATGCCACTAAAAATATAAAACATCACATCAACTAGTGTTTGGTCTAAAAAATTTTGTTGAATGTCATACAACCAGTCACAGGAAATCCTTTCTCCTCTCCTTTTTCACCTAACCATAAAAGAGAGAGAGAGAGAGAGACAAAAAGGCCTCCATATCCTATAAGATGTGGGGCAAGGAAAAGAGCAATCCTACAAGATGTGGCAATTTTGTTCGAATTTTGAGCATAGCAGCCTCCCAAATTACCTTATTACATTATCAAAGGCATTATTTTACATAATCAAGAGGTTCTACTCCAAATACAGCTCGCTACTACAAGAATGCAGAATGCAAGCTCTAAATGCTCACCAACCAACAGGTGCTTTATGCAGCAGGTGTGCAACGCAAAGCATGGGGAAATTTGGATGTTGAGTGGAGAGAATTACATCTAGCACTGAAGACCGGCAGAGACTAGGGCAATAAAGCTTTCCAGAATAATATATAATATGGTCCTGAAGTTGAACAACTCAAATACCAAAGAAGGGTGATGGCTTGATAGGCTCTATATGGAAAATGTTACTGTTCTCTTAAGATATTTTGATGATTATAGTATATGTCATGAGGATAGAAGTAAAAATGTAATTGCCCATAATCCACCTTACATGGCATGTAAAAGAGGCAAAATGTATAGTTTCAGACCAAATAATTGATATACATGTTGTGATCTTTTTTATGCCATAAAAAGAAACAGGGCTCTCCACAAGGCGGAGCTCATTCGCACTGTTAGTGTTCTTTTGCAGTTTAAACATGTCAAGCACATTTCCTTTTCGTGCTAATCTGCCATTGCAACCTAACCCAAATGAAAGAAAGAAAGAAAGGCCCGAACAAAATTTTTGGAGACTGAAGCTAACAAATCACATCAGAACTCAGAAGATAGAACCCTTTTTGAGTTTACTAGAGATAAATTGGAGATTTACATTTAGAGTCTCATATATAAGCCAGGAAATATTCAGCATAGCTGATCACAACAACCGCTTACAACTTATAAGCATAACGTTGTCTTTTCTATCACCAAAAGAGGGGAAAAACAAAAAAGGGGATAACCTCCCCCCCCCCCCCCAAAAAAAAAATAAATAAAAAAAAACACCACTCTTGATATACTAGTGGCGGGTGATAAGGGATCACCTCTGCCAGCTTCTGTTTTTACAGCAGAAGCTTAATTACATTCCCTGTTTGAGTGTTTTCTTCTCTCACACAAACAGTTAAATAGACCTCAAAAACAAAGGGCCTGACGGGACCCATGAATAGAAAGTAGAAACCCCACAATTAAATTAAAATGACAAGGGCAATTTTAAAATAGGCCCTTCTCACTTCGTCCCAACAACGAATTAATTACCGAAACACCTACGCTAACAACCTTTCATCAGGGTATGTCTATATATCCAACCTCCCCACAGCCCAAGTGTAGCTGTAGGGGTCAGGGATGGTCTCTCTAGCGGAACTGCCCTCCACTGAAGGTCTGGCCGAAGGACCAGCCAGCAGGGGCAACATTGTAAGAGACTACGCTACGCCCATCACTGGTGGTGACCTTGAAAGACAGGCTCTGTCCATTGAGGTAATTGTTGCTCTGCCAATTCTGGCCCCAGTTCCTTGACATTGGTTGCCACCCAGTCCTTGACCCTTTGATGGAGACAGCATGCACATCACCAGCACCTCCGACGTTGGTTATGAGGACTAGATTGAAGTATGAATGGCCATTGATGGTGAACCTGATTCCCCCCCTCTTCCTGCAAGGAACCCTGCAAAAAGACCCACAAAAGAAGAGCAAACCTGTCAGCAAGCTTCTATTTCTTGGCGTGGGGAGAGAAGGGAACATGAACATTCAGAAAGAATTAAAGCCTAGAAAACAAACTACAGAGAGAGAGAGAGAGAGAGAGAGAAGAGCAGGGCCGAAGGCTGTGTTTGGTTTTTTGATAGAAAGTGAGAGAGAAAAAGAAAGTTGAGGCAAAGTTCTTAACAAATTCCCTCAACTTTCTGTCAAACCAACATAGCTTAAGGTACACTGGACAAAACAGAGGACCAAAGAAGTACAAAAATTACCTTCTATAAGCCACTGGAACAATCCCAGCTCTGTACTGAGCAATGTGTTGGAAGACAGGCTGAGAGAGATCAAAATGGTGCTGGGGAGGGTTACACCAACCCCCTGCATTGTTAGGAAGGGCGCTGTTGGGTGGGCAGAAATTAGTTGCTGTGACGACAATCGAGCCAGGCAGGCACCACTTTCGGTCGTTCACACACCTAATCTCAAAACAAGCCCCACAGCTCAGGCCATTGTTGAACAGAGCGGTACTCAGAGCTGCAGTATTAGTCCCGTAGCCCTGGCTGTAGAGGTTTCCATAGCCGCAAGCCCCGCCTGCAAAGAGGAAAAACAGCAATCAAAAGAGAATGTCGAAATAGCTAGTTTGCTAGCTAAGGTACGCCTTGGGTTCTTTATAGAAACCAAAAAAAAAAAAGAGAGAGGAAGAGATTATAACATTCAGTTTGTAACATACCCATTGTTCCAGAAGCATCACCCCCTCCATAGAAGGTGGCATGAGCATTAATCCAACCCCCACCATACCCATACCCATGAACAGATGAGAACATTGAGAGAAATCCCACGAACAGAAGCCCTATTGGAGCCATTTTCCTGCACAGATTAGTTTGTCTTCAGTACTCCAAAAACGAACTTTAAAACACTGAAAACACTCAACTGTCACTCAAAACTATCTCATTTTGTAACCATTCTTTCTTTTGGTTCTCAGCGAGTAAAAAGACTAATGGAAGCAAATGACAAAGGATAGATGATTACATGAACTTTCGAAGAAGAAGAAGAGAAGCAAAAGCAGATAATTGGGAGAAACGACGGAAGGATTGGTGAGGAAAGTAACGAGGGGGTCGGGGGAAATAAATAGATGTTTGGACTTTGGAGGGAGTGCGGGGGACCTTCAGCTTCAGGCTTCAGCCACCGGCCCACCGTCACAAATAACTGACTCTTCGAGACTCGAGCCGTTTGGACCAAAAACGGCCCAGTGAAAGCGGTTTTCTAATAGTGCAAAATAACACTTTTGCCTTAAAAAGCAGTTTTGTACCGAAACCGCGTGGTTTTGGATTCTCCTGGATGGGAAATGGGTTATGGGGATTGGGGAATCCCCTAATCTCAACCAAAAAAGAAAATCCCTAAATCCCGGTGGGGTACCGTAGTAGATAGAGATTAGAGACTAGAGATCAGAGCGAACGGCTCTGCCCTCAGCCCAGACCCCTGAGCAGTTAAAACTTAAAACTGTCCTGCCCACCCCACGATTTTACATCTGCGCCCCACCACGTCCAAAGCATATTCCCGCCATGTATTGAGAACATCTCCCGATGATGATATATATCAATCATCGGGAGCCAGTCAATACACAGCGGGGTGGGGCGCAGATGTGAATTCCCACCCCACATACAAACAACGCCCATTCTCCGCAACTAAACCTTAAACTCTTTTTTCTTTGTATTCTAGCTTTTTCCCTCTCTCCTCTCTCCTTCTCTAATTACATATTTAGCCTTAACCTACAATTAATTAAATTTAAAAAGACTTGTTCACAGGTTTTCCCAATCATAAGGCATGAGCCATAAGAAGAGCCCAGATTGATGAACGTGATCTTCGGAGGGATGTTATAGCTATACGGATTTAATGGGTGTCTAACAACTAACGAACAACAATGTTGAATTTATTACAATATACACGAAGCAATCAATCGCCATAGCCGTTTATTATGACTTTTGAAGGTCTAAACTGTGAATGAATTAGAATGGGATTTGACTCGAATTTCTTTTGAGAGAGCAAAAAAAAAAAAATTCACCCACCTCATTAAATTCATTCTTTGTAGTTGCAGACACCCCCGCTTTCTATATCTAGAGATTGTTACGCTTACACCACGTGGGTTATGACACAGCAAACAGCTTTAAATTCGAAAGAAAGATGGAAGAAGGAAGAGTTCAGATGTATCCAGTCTGTTCATTTATTCTCTACTCAGTTCTTAAATACGTGAAACCAAAAGGCGAATATCTCAACCTGCAAATTGCATGGCATGTGATTAACCCTCCTCCATGCTCTCAGTTTCTTTTTTTTTTTTCTTCCTCTGCTTTTCTCCATTTTCTCTGCATTCCCGAGCTGGATTCTTTGTTCTTCTGCTTTACTTATTTTTATTATACTATATAGTTGTATACTGCTCCTCAATGGGACAATAACTACAATCTCTGTTGGTGCAACTAACAGAGGATAAATTAATGAAAAAGTAAAAGCATTACAGAAAGGAAAAACAATTTTTTTTATTCCGTGAACTACACAAAGAATGAAAAGCTCATGACTAATTTGATTAGCGAAATCATAGGGCCGAGAATCCCGCCACTAGAAATTTCGCTGAGTCAACCCATTTAACAACTATGAAGAGATTGCTTCTTTGACTTGATTTCCTTCATGTCCGTTTTCTGTTACAAAATAAACGCATGTCCTCCCCTTCTTTAATATTAAAACTTTTTTTTTTTTTTTATTTGAGTGTCCTCTCTGGGTTTCCAGATATCAAATGCCAACTCTAGAAGCATTCGGTTTATATAATTAAAAAAAAAATGCATCAAATTGTGCTTTCTATGTTTGTTAGAGAGAAAATTCAAAAAGAAAAGTAAAAAGATGAAGAGCAAGAAAATATCCATGAAGGTAAAAATTTCTCTAGCTTGGAAAGTGTTACAAATGGTTGATATTTAATGATTAAACGATAGGAAGAAGTGCGAAGAAAGAAAATAAAAGAAGGAAGACAATGTGGTTTTCAAGTGGATGGTCTTGTAGGGGTGGTGGCAATGAGCATCTGAAACAAAACTTTAGATCAATTGGCATCTAAGTAAGAAAAGAATCAACAAATTTTGTTAACTTAAGCCCTGTTTGTCTTGTTGTGGTAAAGTAGTAAAAAGGTGAAAATTTTTGAATAGAAGATTACTTGGTGTAGAAATTGAAGATCCTAGTTTGCATGATTTCTTGTCCTTTTACTCTTGAAATGAAAGCGATTTCAAGTGTCTGTCTACAGGCTTCGCACTCGGCAAATGCAGATGCTGTGTTTGGAATTGGAACCTTTCATGCTTCAAAACGCATTTGGCTTTTCTATTCTATTTCTCTTTGTAATTTCCCTCAGATTCTTCCCAGTGAATTGATGGAAATAAAACCAAGTACAAAAAGCCAAGAGGAAGATCTCATCAACAATTACAGCTTCTCCTTCCAACTTCCTTGTTTGGCTTTTTTCGACTTTCTTTGTTTAGAAATTTAAAGAAACTAATAAAGCAATCACTGTGGTGATGGTTTTGTTTAATTTCCCACTTAATTAGCAAGTTAGCTTAGTTACCTATGGAATGGCTGATTGACTGAAGGCTACAAAAACTAGAGATTTTGTTCACAGAGTGGTGAGTGAAATGTGTATTTTTGCTCTTTCGATTCTTGGGATGCCAAGTAGAAATTGCAGAAGAGCAACAGAATGAGAGTAAATATTCCACATGAACCTTACCTGCAACCAATGAATTAACCTCAACCTCAACAGCCGTGATGGTTTCTTTCTTAAATGACTTAAAAGCCATGAAAAGAAAGAAAGAAAGAAAGAAAGGCATAGCCAACCATTGGAATGTTGCCAAGGTTTGTCGGTCAGGCACAGTGTTTGGGAAGAGAAGAGAACGACTCAGTGACATAGAGCCATCCGTGGTGGGGGCTCCGCTCCCTTCAGAAGAACAGCTAAGGTTGTCCTTTCTAACGTCAAAACTGTTGGATTGGAACCTTTTAAATAGAGGAACGATGTCGATACATGGTGGTGCAGTAGATTTTTGCACTTTGGGTTTGTGGGGTTCTGTACGGTAAGTATTTGAACCCTGACCACTCAGGTTGCAATGGAGCAACCCAACTCAAAAATACATCTTATGAAACTAGAAGCTATTATTTTTATGCACAGGTAAGTATGAATCTATTTAAATGTTTATAAATTATCAAATTGCATACAGGATCAGATCAAATTCAACCCAAATTATAAAATGGGCAGATTCAAATGGTTTTAATTGGATTGAGCTCGAATTGAGACAAGCATATATAATTTGCAGGCCTGCATTAATTTAATTTAATTAATACCCAGAGAGGCAGCGGGAGCGGGTAGTCAAGTAAATTAAGTTTAATTATGTGAAAAAATTGGTTAATTAGTTTAATAGTATTTATGGCAACAACCTTTTTAACTGCCAATAACCAACTTGTCGTATGGGTATGGATGCCTCACGCCATGCCTGATGCCTCCAACACCCAAATCCAATGTCTCTCTTTTTTCTTTATCTTTATGGTTTAATACTTGGGATGCTGAGTGCGTGAGCCGTTCCATCTTTCATTTCTTTCATGGCGGGGCAGGTATCAGATGCGGCCGTTGTACCAGCTGATCCGGATGTTTCTTACTTTTTAAACTGTTATTTCTGAGGCGCTTCACCTGTTGTATCTCTAATCTCCTTCTGTTTGTCGAGGTTGTTTGCGCGCGGTACACTATTCATTAAAAAACAAATTAATGAAAGGTCATAGTAGATTAATTAATTAACCATGGCATTACCAGCTTTCTGTTTTTTGATCTAAAAGAGAACCACCCTTCTTAATTTACCTTTATACATAATTAATACACGTCCTAAGCTCTCAAACTTACTCCTTAATTACCACAAAGAAAATGAAGAAATTACTCTGAATTAAGCTTACTCTGGGGTAATTAGTTAGTTTTCAGAAGTAGAATAGAAAATACAGCCATGAAAAAAAAAAAAACAAAAAAACAGAAAATAGAAAGGGAAGTAAAACAGAAAACCATGAGTACTCCAGGTTCCAGGGCAATCGTTTAGTTTCAACCTCCCAACAGTAGTATTCTTTTCTCCATGAATTATTGTCCTTGTCCTTGCTTATGTTTCGTGCCTCTTTTATTTGTCTTTGTTTCACCAGTACTGCAAGATCATGCCTGCTTAATTAGCTTCCATCTAATTTTGTTTTCCTTTGCACAATTATCTATTTATTTCTTTACATTAGCAATTTCCTTGTCTAAAGTGTTGATTAATCATAGGTAGAATGCCTATAAAGTAACAGAGAATGGAATACATGGATAATTAACCAGTCCCATGTCCATGTCCATGTCCATGTGAAGGGATGGTATGAAGTAAGATGTTTAGGCTGTGTTTGGTAATGGTTTGAAGGAAAAAGTAGGGAAAGGTAGGGAAACCTTTACAAACCTTGTATAAGTTTCCCTACCTTTTCCTTCAAACCAAACATAGCATAAAATGATGCCCAGTTCATAAGTTTTGACAGAGAGAGTAAAATCGGGAGTGCTTTAAAGGAAAAAAAGGTTGTATAGTTGCCAAAAACTTGGATTTAATGGGGGGGGGGNGGGGGGGGGAGCCCGTGATCGATGGAAGCCTTGCCTAGAAAAAGAGAGAAGTGTATCTTTGAATGGATTGAGTGGGTCTCTACTGACTGGTGACTGCCCAAGGTTGCTCTCTCTATATATATTCCAACTAGCAGTACCTAATAACTACCTCATCACACACAGGTTGAATTCTTTTTCCTTTAGAACGAATGAGCCAATCAGCAATAATACCCAAAACCAAAAGCATTGCTTTTTGGGTGGCCCATCCATCATTGAGCTTTAATTTGGTAAATGAAGTAGTAGGAGTGTTCAACTTTGAAATATTTTAGCCAATTAATTTAAATGACTTGCTAAGAAGGCCATCTTTGATTCAACAAAAGGGAAAGAATAAGATAGCCCAGATTTGTAAAGAGGAGGGAGGGGGATGATTGCTTAATTAGACCCATTTTTGATTTGGGTATTAAGAATTCTTTTGCAATTTGGTGAGTGCAAAAGCAACTAAAGTAGATCTGCCTTTGCCGACAAT